GGCCTCTGTTGTATTTTTGATTATTTAATTTCTGCTGTAGATTTCCTACTTTTCCGGTGGATTTTCCTAAAATTGTCTTTTATAGAAACCTTCTCCGTGATTTACTCTTTCGTTGAAAAAAAATCAAGAATATCTGATATGTAGTTCCAGAGTTTATCCTGTACAAAGATTTTCATTCCACATTTATATACCTAGTTAGATAGATATAGCATTTAATATTGTGTATAATTAATATTTGGTATAGAAATTGTTTTGGTATAAACGTGGTCAATATCTCATTTAGTGGAAAACAAAATAGTAATAACTACCATTAAATGATGATAAATCAAATTATTTTATTTTTAAGCCTAAACCAACATTTTTAATTTAAAAATTTGTCAGTAATTTCATAATATGTAAAATAAATACCAAATTAATTTTAAAGAATACTAAATTGAATGACTACAAAAATCAAAGATATTTAACTTTAAATCAAAAACCTTTAGTGTCGTAGAAAAAACAACCGACAGAAAGTAAAAAACTAATTATTATGTATTAAGAAATCGATTGATTAATTATTATTTTTTTTTTTTACAACTAATGTAAACAATTTTTATTCCAGATTTGAAGAATGGTTTAGTAGAACTTATCCCTTAACTTGGCAAGCATTAAAATATTAGAATGAAAATTTTAAAGTAGATATTTTCAAACTAATTTAAGGTCGCTGAATTCAAAAATGTTGTCAAAAAAAATATTGGACTTGAAAGTTCAAAGTTATGAATTGTATCTTAAAATATACATAGTTATAAACCAATACTAATATTCATGTATCTAAAAGGTTACATACTTTTAAAATTGATATAAAATAAGCATTATTGCATATATTATTAGAAACTTTACATAAAAGTGATTAACTGAGTTGATTCTAGTGACACATTAAAATTTGATGAAATTAGCAGTTGAAGTCAACGAGTTTAATCGGCTTTAAATTTCCAAAAAATGATAACAAAAAACAGTTATTACTTATTATCAATCCCAATCATCACAGAAACGTTATCGTAGTGTACTCAAGTGGGAGATATGACATTTATCAAAGTGTACAAATAATAAAAATAAAAATATTGTACATCGGATTCCGTACAAAAATTCACAAATTTTGTGTATCCAAAAACATACAACACCAAGTTATAATATGCCAGGACTTCCTTTAAATAAATAATGCGATAATTATAATAAACACTCCATGGATTTATCATTATAATTAATAGATATACAATATATAGGTACTTACATATAATAATAAATAATTTTCATAATTTCTATTGTTTTTTTCATAGTTATTTCTCTATCCTATTTTCTTATTTATACCCATAGGTACCTTATATTTTAATAGGTTAATGTTTACATTTTTAAAACTTACTTCTAGAGAAAAAACTACCCTGCTAGTTTTCAATATAAAATCTAAATAATCCTTAGTAGCTGTTTACCAACACTATTTTTGACGTTATTAACTTTTCACTGTTAATGTAGTACGGAGGTGGCATAATCGGTACCTATCCTGTACCGCACATTTGTTTATTTTATATCTTCAAGCACAAATAAACTGTCAAATAAGTAATAATAAATCTTGATGCTATAAATCCACTTGACTAAATGCAGGTGAAATAATGAGATATAAACTGCTTAAAGTTATAAAATACTATATAAAATAATGTTACATATTATTTAAAATTTTTATTTTTGTTGTATATTATCGTTTATATTACTGAAAATATCGATCTATAAATATATAATTAAACCTATAACTACGTGATGCATTAAATTAGCTATAATCTACGTGATTAAATGCAGGTGCGATTTTATTTTACATTTAAACGGATAAAAGTATTTTAAATTAATAATAGTAAAAATTGAAAAATACTTACTTTGTATTAATAAAGTGTAGGTACCTACTTGAATATTATAATCAACAAAATTACCCATTTTAATGTAATAACACCTTGCGTTATAAACGCATAAACAATTTTAACGCTTATAATGAATTTAAAACTCTAGAAACAGTAAAAAAAAAAAGTATTTAAGGAGTGCCAGCTGAAACTATTACATTATCATTAACGAGTTCCATTGCCTATACAATCGTCAAACATCAAAATACCAGGTTTGTACTTATAACATATTATTATTCGAATTTACTTAAGGGGCCTGCTCGCGATTTTTCAAATTTTCCGCAATTCTATAAAATTTGAAAATTAAATTTTATATTTTAGTTGCCACCTGAATTATAAGACTTTTCCACTAATCTACTACCCAATACCTATTTAGGGGGGTTGATAGGGTGTATTATATCGGTCAAAACACAGTTTACAGGAAAAACTCTCACACCTCGTAGATTGGTCCGATTTCCGTAATTTTTTTTTTGTTAGATAGAGGAATATTTTTTACAGGGCGCATTGGACTTCGATTTTTGATTACGTCGCTAAAAACAAAAAATAATACAAAAACTAAAAAGTTGTAAAAATTGATTAAATTCAAACTTGTAACATCAGACTTCGAAAAATAATTTTGAAAATCCAAGTCCAATGCGCCCTGTAAGAAGTCTTCCTCTATCTAACAAAAAAAAAATTACGGAAATCGGACCAATCTACGAGGCGTGAGAGTTTTTCCTGTAAGGCATGTTTTTGAGCAAAAAAACAGGTCGCGTGCAGGCCCCTTAATATTCTTATTTTTAAATTAAAAGAACAACAATATTGTAAAAATCAACATTACAGCATAAGGTGTACCAAATTCATATCATGTTTCGTGAATTGTACCAAATGTGTATCCATATGTAGTTCACCGATAATATTATTAAAAATTATATAAATAATTTCAGTACTTACAGTTTTTATTCGTTACACAAAAATAGGTACCGATTTCTCCATAGGTGTATCTATGGATAGATTATAGATACCATTATGAATGAAATATATGTTTCCATTAAGCTTTTTTTCTAAAGTTCTTTTTATTTGTTTTCTTGTGGTACAAACTTGCTGACGGAGTAGTGAATTCTGCCAAAGAAACTATTAAGTATTGCATTATACACTGTTTTACATTTAAAAGTATGTAACCAGTTAAATTAATGTTAAATGTTTATCACCAATTAAAATTAATAAATACAGAGATTGGATCGTAATTAGTTTTTTTTTTAAATTAAAAAAATGTTAGAAATAAATAGAGAAAGGGTTTGTAAAGTGGTATTATAAGAAATGGAAAGAATAACACATTTAATATGAGGATCAATGAAACAATAAAGGTTAATAGAAAGTGTATTGGTAAAAAGTACAAGTACAGAACCGTTTGAATATTATGTACCTACTTATAATATAAAAGTTGTCTAACAAAATATCTTTAAAACAACAAATTTATACATTGCCTTTTAACTCTTCAGTTATAAACTCAAAAACCAAATCAACTTCATAACAAATTTTAAAATTCATAGAAAAAAAAACTTTGATGTTTTTTTGTTTATTATTCATTAATTTATTTAGCTACCTACATAATACTGTAAACTGTTTCTGAATTATTTAAAACTATGTTCTATTAATACATTTATAATTTATAAATTGTAGTAGTTATAAAAGTTTATAATTGAATAAATTAGAAATAACTAATAAGTACCTTAATAATAATATAAGTTATATTACTCTATTGTATAAGGTTGTTGATTTTTAATCTCCTAAGGTTCTAGTTTTTCTGGTATTATAATGATTTATAATATAATTATTTAACAAGAATAACTAATATGTACCTACCACATGTTACACTATTACAATTAGGTACAAACTTAATTTAGGTATAACCATAAGCATTAATATACGTCATGCCTATAAATAATTGTAGTAAATAATTATTCGTAAACCTTGGTTGATTACTGATATATTATTCATTATAAGCGTTTGCTGTGTGTAATCAATATAATATTATTTCTAATTACAATCTATAGATTCTATAACCTAATAAGAAACCAGTTTAAAAGAAGAAAAATATTTTTCATAATTTCATTGAAATGTTTCAAATTCACAACCCTAGTTGTCTATATAATATCATAGACCAATATAATTGCAGTATAGTGTACTTTAGTTTCACGCCAAATAATGATTTCTCCTTGGTCGATGGATAGATACCATAATATGGATGCAATTATTAAATAATTCAATCTTTTTTTCAAAAGTATACCTACTTTTTGAGTTAAAATTAAAGTATTTCATTGTTTCTTTGTTATTAAATATAAATATGTTCATTCACACTTTAGTAGTATTGTCAACATTTCAATTAAGATTAAAAGTTATTTTAATAAGGTAAAATAATAATTACAAAAAAAAAATATATACACTACCTAACTATTATCACTTAGGTATCTATAAATAAATCAAACCACAATAATAATTATGGACATAATTGTGACTATGGATTTTTATTATTTTTCAAACGCCATTGTAACAATATAATATTAGGATCCTTGTATTAAATGTCCAAGTAGTTGGACTTACCCATTTTGCCAAATTCAGTTACTGTTCGTAAATACGCGGCCGTTACTCTCACTACTCGTCCGACGTGACTTTCCTTCGCGTCCCACCTTGCAGTGCCTGATGAAAGAGTCTTCTTTGCCGCATCGTTTGCGCCTGTTTTGGCGGTTAGTAAGCGTGTTGACCGATCGCTATAATTATTGTGCTTGCACTTTGTACTGGTTGCCGTTACGTACCGTGTCAAATAATTCAAATCATTATAATAACTGTATTATTTCGATGATTATAATCAGCTATAGGTACTTAACATTGATCTAAAAATAATAATTTTTATTTTGGTAAAACACAGCAGTATAGATTAATCATTAATTAAAAATACTGATTTGTGAATGATAAACAGACTCGGCTGTAACCGGAAGGGTTTATAATTCTGGTATTCAGAGTTATGCAATTGCAACAAAACTTTGTATTTTCTTATTTTCTGATAATATGTATTTACATTATTTTAGAGACAAAATGTTTCCGGTGCAAATATTGGTTGTTTTATCAACTATGATTATTATAAACCAGGCAGCAACGTTGAACTACGAGCATGAAACATCAGTCACAACTAGTTATGAAGTTGATAAAGAGGCATATGAGATGATAAACGATAAAACATATTATAATTCAAATAAAAGTTATGAAATTGAAGCTTCATTTGATTTTAATACAACAGATTCAAATGGAAATATCATAAATTCAAATGAAACTGCTTTACCTGTTGTAAAAAGCTTTCCATTTACTCCAATTTTGATAGGAGTAGGAGGGCAAGCTCTTTATGATGTTGGAAAGATAATGTACGAAAAGTTTAACAAAAAAAAAAAAAATTGAAAATATTACTACTTATAATATACACATAAATACATAATATATGCATCAAGTTGAATTGTTATTATTCTTCCTATTAAATTGGTGGTTTAATGGGGAGAGCACCTTCTTCATGGATTATTTTTCTAATCCAACTGTATATATAATATATATTGTCAATCACCAAAAGAAACACAATTACAATCATAGATAATACGTCATAATGGATAGGCCATCAGCCTTCCATAAGCATTCCTGAATAATAAGCTATGGGGTAGTAAATTGTTTATGCCATGAGCAAGTAAGTTATATTTTATTTCATTTTTTTGTTATGTATAAAATTAATAATTATTGTTCTTTTATAATTAGAAACAATATGAATTTATTATACTTCTATTTAAACTTAAAAAATTCAAATAATAGAACGATTCAATATTTAAACAACAAACAAGATTTGTTTGATAACAATTATTGATAGATAGTGATAAGTCAAAATGGTTAATTATTGGTGACTACAGGTAACAATGGTATAGATGGGGCATAAACCGAAATTTCGGGAACGCTGCCCCATGGGTGTTTAGTATAGGGATGGCATATCCGTTATATATTATCCATGATTACAATAAATAATAATATAAGCAAGTATGATTATAATTGATAATAAATGATAAATAATAATGGCACAAAATTATACAATATAATATTCATGGCTAAATAAATAAGCATGATCGCAACTTTGTGTCATGGCCCCCACTGGCAGTGAATATTATCACTTCGATTTATTTGTTAACAAAACAATACAAATTATTAATTGCATGGCTAAATAAATCTAAAAATCACTGCCAGCTGGGATTCCTTTCCATGCTAAAACATGCAATAACTGTACGTGAGCAGCCCATAACGAAAATGCGTCTCAATTCAATTATACCTAGATATTTAACCATGGTAATATTATTAAGTGCGTCTCCGACAGTCGGAGAACTGTGCTTATGTATTTTTTAGATTTTTTGGTAACAGAATTAACTACTTACTTGGAATCTTGTTTTAAATTTTCAATCCTTAGTTATAAAAGTTGAACATTTTAAAAATTTTTAACTACAAAATATTTATTCAATTTTAAATTTCATACATTTTGTCAAAATGTGATCTTTAAATGCTTATAAAAAAAAATTGTTCCTATGTATTTTTAATATTTTTCAACTGATATTGTAACAATATATCAGAAGCCTTGTATTAAATTTTTACACTTTTTGGCCCAATAGATAAAACTTTATTGATATTTAAAGGAAAAAAAAATAAAAAAATTTTAAAACTTAATATGTCCGTAAACAGCTCAAAAAGAGTCAAAATATTTTAAAAATTGTAAGGTTTATAGGAAATGCTAATATAAATATTCAGTGAAATTTTCATGTATCTACAGTCATTCGTTTTTGAATTACAACAAAATAAGGAAATCGCTACACGAGAAATCGAGTGAATATTCAATGTTGTAATAATTTGAATTTCATAAAAATTTAATTTGATTTTCTTATAGACATTTTTTTTTTTTTTTTGATAAAGGTAGATAATCTTATAAGGAATCTTGTATTACATTTTAAAACCTTAGATTTAAAAAGAAAAATTTTTACGAATTCTTAACTCAAAATAATTTGCTAATTTTTGTGATTTTTCCATATTTTGTCAATTTTTGAACTTTAAATGCTTATATGAAAAACTGTGAAAAAGGATTTTGAATATTTTTCATTTGACTTTGAAACAATATAGTAGGAGCCTTGTATTAAATTTTCAAGTATTTTTACACAACAAATAAATTTTTATTGATATTAATAAAAAAAAAAAACTAATAAAATTGGAAACTGAAAATGTCCCTAAGCAGTTCAAAATAAATCAAAATATTTTGAAAATGTTATCGTGTATAGAAAATGCAAATATAAACAACCTGTGAAAATTTCATGTATCTACGGTCATTTGTTTTAAAGTTACACCAAAAACCAAAATCCATTTCCTCGAAAACAGATTTTGCGTAAAAATTCCCGTTTTTCCTTAATTTTTCTTTTGTTTTTCACGGCGCTTTTGAAAACTACTGTGAAATTTTTACTTTTGACCCCCCAAAGTACCAACTAGATTCGCTTTCCTATCAGAAAAGATACTGTTGAAAACAATCCAAGCACTTTTACTGCCTAAAAGCTGATGACAGACACAAAAAAAAAGTAAAAATAAAAAAATAAAAAATCACACATCGTTGTAAAATCAATACACTCATCGTTCCACTCAGATTCTAAAACGTATTTCACTGGACACTGATAATCACATTATTGTTACACAAAAATTGAAATATGGTATTGTAAATCTCGAGTGCTGAGAGAGCCGAGAACAAAAAGTGAAGCCTTGTGGGCTATGACTATTTTGTCTACTGACAATATTGACTGTTTATAAATATAAATACATATAACTACATGGGCATAACCTAATTAGATTTTATTTAAAAATAACCTATTTATGCAGAAAATATTTTACAATATGTTTTTGAGAATTTTACATTTGTATGATATTTGATTGTATCAATAAAATAAAATAATATCATATTAATTATTAGCATTAGTTATTAGTATTTATTAATTATTATTATTACAATATTCCGCAGTATGGTATGGTATATCTTTATATATACGATGCACCTATATGTTATAATATAATTGGGTATCGCTATATGCTATATCTATATGTATTTAATTGAGTTATTTTTCTTGAAGAATTCTGGTTAATGGAACAATAAATAAATTTAACTATATTTGTAATTTCCTATTCTAGTAAATGGTTATGTATTATCAATAATAATTTTTATTTTTATTATATTTATTATTTAATTATTTAAAAATTAACTAAACTTAAATTTGATTAAAAGTAACTCGTTATTTATTAAGCTTATATCAATTAAAATAAGTTAAGTTAAAAATTAAGTCAATGAAAATTAAATTTTAAACATTTAAGTTAAAAGTTAAAATTAACTGCGCAGGCTTGATAATTTATAATATTACACCATAGTGTACGGTTTATACCTTATCAACTGTTGATCTACTGTTATCACACATAATATTATTTCTCTATTCTTATTAATCGATCGATTGTTAATACTAGTCTTAATCATTAGGCCACGTCCGTTTGAAATTAAAAATACGCGTACGTCTAAAGTATAATAGCACGTTCAACGCCGCCCGTGATTTTAGAAACAACGAAAAAAACTAAAACCACCCATACCTTTAAATTAATAGTTCATTGTCAATGGCCTATCTTAGTTTCAGGGTTTTTTAAAAAAAAATGCGATTTAATAATTATAGCCATAATATAAACGTATACGTTTTTGACGCTTTAACCAGCCTATTGGAATAAACACTGTTAACGCTTCAGTGGCAACGCAGTGACAGCAGGCTCATATTATTTTTAAACTGAATAATAATAATAATATTGTTGGTCTGTGAGGTTGAACCTGGGTTGATCGGTATAGTAAAAACGCTACTAAAACGTACGAACTAAAATCGAAAAATGTAACGTCGGAGTATCAGAAACTCATGGTCTAATCGTTAATTTTCTTCAGTTTCAGCGGCGGCTCGGCGGCTGCAGACTCATATTATTTTTAAGCTGAATAATAATAATAATATTGTTGGTCTGTGAGTTTGAACCCGGGTTGATCGGGGTAGTAAAAACGCTACTAAAACATACGAACTAAATTGAAAAATTGTATGGAAAAATTGTTGGTCTGTGGGGTTGAACCCGGGTTGATCTGGATAGTACTAAAACGCTACTAAAACGTACGAACTAAAATCGAAAAATGTAACGTCGGACTCGTCGGAGTATCAGGAACTCATGATCTAATCGTTAATTTTCTTCAGTTTCGGCGGCGGCGGCTCGGCGGCTGTTCCAATGACTCGCCGTTGTAGCTACTATAACTGAACGGCCATCACAATCAATCATAGCTACGTTCCTGTTACATTCTGTTACATTATAGAAAACATCAATAGCACTAATTACGACAGAAATTAATAATTTGTACACCAATATTAAAGTCACGGAAATCACCGAGGGAACAAATTTGTCATATAAATAAATACAAATAAAATTCAATAGGTAGATTAACTACTACCATTGACTTATAATTATAGTATATAATCAATGTAACTAATGTGTGCTTAAAATTTTGATTTGACGAACAACTGGATGATTGATTGATGAAAACTTGGATAACTAACAAATTCATACAGTTTTGTATTCGCTTATGGTCTCTAGTTATTTATAATAACTATAAAATAGATGTATTAATTCATTTAAATTGGAATTTAACTGTTTACAAATTACGATAAAAAACTATTGAGATCGAATATTATGCTGACAAAATAATTTGCGATTTTTACGAATTCCGTCCAGATTATAAAAATAAGTACGGGACACTTTTAAAAGTACCAACTAGATGCAATTGGTTTTTTGTAACTACCTTCGAAGTTGAAAATCGAATCTTTTAATTAGAGAAAATGTCTTGTTCAGACACAAAAAAAATAAAATATATAAATATATAAATAAAATATATTATTATCATAATGTCGCTCCACTAAGTATCAAATTGCGTGAAAATTTCTTGTGCACTAAAAAGAAAAAACCAACGAAACAAACACTACACAGGTATACTACCTCAGGGCCACCACACATCAACATTTACAAAATTGTGCCTATGTATTTTTAATATTTTTCAATTGCTATTGTAACAATATATAAGGAGCCTTCTATTAAATTTTTACACTTTTTAGCCCAACAGATAAAACTTAATTGATATTTATAGAAAAAAAACTAAAAAAATTGAAAACTGAAAATGTCCGTAAACAGCTCAAAAAGAGTCAAAATATTTTCAAAATTGTACAGTGTATAGGAAATGCTAATATAAACATTCAGTGAAATTTTAATGTATCTACAGTTATTCGTTTTTGAATTACAACAAAATAAGGAAATCGATACAAGAGAAATTGAGTGAATAT